GGGGGGGGGGGGATCTTGAACGCCGAGGGGAAAATCCAAGAGGAAATGTATCAGGTGGGTGGTGACAGCATTTAGGGAGCAGAGTTTTGAGAGAAACATGGACAGTGAATGATCTAACTAGTCTTGTGACTAAACAAGCTATTGCTTGAAAAGGGGAGATGCTAGTGTGGAAGATTGGAGGCAGTCACAGTAGTACACCTGGGAAGGACCTGGGGTCTGCAAGTCCACTGTGGCAGCATTGACTGTTCAGGGGGTGTGAACATTGGTGTTCACTGCATCCAGGCTGGGATGGATTCAGGGCTCTAGCTATGTAGTGCAGGGTCAGGAGGGAGGTGAGGAATGTGCACATCATGCTAAGTGTATTGCCTACCTCCGTTCAAGGTGCCTCATTCCTATGTGGCAGGAACAGCATCATAACCCTGGCAAAGGTGTTGGTGCCTTCTGAGATGGAGGGCCCATCTCCCGACACCCTTGGCAGGGGCTCCTTGGTGCCTTCCTCTTGTCTTGTCTTTGCCTGTGGTGGTATGCATGGGCATGCTTCACGTGGCAGGGTTTTTGTTCAGTTGCTTAGGGCTTCTGTAGATGTCCATGTCCCTGTGGCAAAGGCCAAGCTGAGAAAGTTGAGTTGCATAGCAAGGGAGATGGGGCTTCATCTGCAAAGGAGCCAACAGTCTCAATCTGTAATTAAAAAGCAATCAAAGTCAGTGGCCCAGGTCCATCTTCAGGTTTGCCAGTCTAGGTGGCATAGGGACAGATGATGTTGGTCTGTTGTTAAACACGCTGCTTCCAGATGTGCCACTACAGCTTCTTGTCCTTGGTTATTGTGTGCATCTCTTGCCTCAATCAGCAGTTACTTCTCACTTCCTAAAATTCTGTTTGGACTCTTTCCTGGGAGGGGTAAATCTTGGAGTCTGTCCAGCTAGTCTGAGAGGCTTTCCTAAGGGGATTATCATTATCAAAGCATCAGTTTGAACAAGCCCCATGCCTTCCTGTGATCCTAGCGACCCTTCACATGATCTAGGGGGAAGGTCACTTCGTACTTTCTCCAGGAATGGACTAGTTTTCTCTCTTGTTCTTTGCCAGTTTAGTGGGACTGTATGGATTTGTGTCCCTTTTTTGGGTCTCCCCTAGGAGCAGCATGTGGCTCTTTAGGGCCTTACAGTTGGGGAAGGTTCTTCTCTTAACGAAAGGACCAAATCTTGGTCTGTTTAGTACAAACATTTCTTACCAAAACAAGGTTGGCAGCATCTCCTTGCTGGATCTCTCTTCATTGTGAAGGAGATGGAAATGGAAGATAGTTCCTGCCTTGTCCTATTGGTGTGTGGTCATGGATCATTTTTGACAGTGGGCTCACATTTCCACTGTGGGCCTGAAGGCCCCTCAGTCCCATTCAAACCCAGGTTGTCCCACCTTTCTTTTTTGAGCTGTCTGCAGCAGGTGTTCAGCTTGTGATGCTGTGCATGCCCGCTCATATGCTTGTATAGAAGTGACCCAAGCTGCTTTTTCATAAAACGGTCTTGGGTCATATGCATCTGATGTTGCTGTAGGTGCATGCTGCTTGCAGCAGCTGCCTTGCAGCCTGACTCTTCTCTGGGTGCAGGCCAGGTGCAGCTTTTCCCTGTACTGGCACCCTGTCTTGATCTGGCTCTCCTAAACTGCAAGGCCCAGCACTGCTGAAAGATGGCAGGGAGGTTTGACAGCTTTTCTGAGAGGGCGAATAAGGGGCAGGGTTATGAGATAGACTCCTATAGACTTAGAATGGGACAACCTCTCCCCCCCGCCCCAGCCCGGGCTCATTTCACAGACTGCCCAACAGCCATTGGCTGGCAGCAAACTTAAGTGACAAATGACCTGATCTGGATTTGACCTGGTGACTTGGAAAGGAGCTTTCCTTTCCTATGCTCATCCGTGCTTGCTGTCACATCTGTAGCTTGGCTGTAAGAAGTGGGCTTCTGACTATGAGTGGCTGGCTAGAAAGGAGGCATTTGTAACCCAATATCCTGGCAAGTGATATGCTAGGAAAGAAAGCAAGTGCAGATGTGCCACATCCTGGGCTGTCAGTGCAATCCCTGTGAAGTGTGCTGGCGTGTCTGAGAGCAGGCTGTTTGCTGGGGCTGGGGAAGGATTTTTTAGGGCAAACATCCAGCAGATAACTTCCTCCAGCGTGCAGATTATTTTTTGTCTTCCGGCTTTGGATCTTGTGTGTGAATGGAGAAGTAAGCAGTGACCTATTTTCTTGAGCATGCCAGATGCATCAGAGGGGCTGTTAGTCATGGTGCCAGCCTCTGTCTCACAGGTCCTTGCCAACAGAGTTACAAGGAGCGCCTCATCTGCAGACAAACAGAGCCAGGGAATCACAAAGGGGATTTTGTTCCCAGCAGAATTGCTCACCCAAGCAAGGCTTCAAACCCCAGCATTATGTACCAACACAGATGCCTCTCTGCGTGCTGTGCCCACTACTGTCTGGGCAGGCTGCTGGTTGGCTCAGCCTTATTTACTGCATTGTCAAGTCCCTGCAAATGTTCACTCTAATTGCTCCCCTCAATTAGCCAGACATCCCATTTCCTTTCTTTTTAGGAGAGCTGCAGCAGGGAAAACAAATTGGACTCATGCTTGTTGTTCACTGCTTTATGGTGGATACAGGAGGCTTGAAATGTGTCGAGGGAAGGGGTTAGCTCTGGTCAATGTTTAAAAACTCAGAGTGTTGTCTTGTCTGTCCTGGTGACTGTTAGGGCAGTGGGTCTGGACAGACTTTCATCCTTCCATGAGGGATTTGAATACTCTTTACAAAGGGCTTTTTATACCAGCTATCCTAGGCATTTGACTTCAGCCCTGCCCCAAAAGGTTTTAAGCCATCCACAGGGAGAAGCAGAGTGGGCAGCATGTCTGCTCAGTGTCCCTTGTCAGACCTAAAGACAGCACTCCCCTGTCCATAGGCAGATCAGTACTTGGGGAAACTCTCTGCAGTGGGTTAGCAGTTGGTTGAAACGCCAGAGAGCATCTTTCTTCTCCTGAAGTGGCTCTACTTGGGGTCCAACCTTCTGGCTGCTCATGGGAACTGAACCTGTAACCCTTTGGAGGACTGCCCTGGGTGGTCTTCTCTGCCAGGGTGTCTCTGCTTGTGTAAGCACAGCTTCTTGAGGCATAGGGTTGGAGGGAGAGGGGGTGATAAGGCCCTGGTAGGCCAGGGTGAGGGGATAGTTGTGCTGCAGCAAGTGCATCCTTTCAGGGAGCCAGGAATTAAACTTCTTCTCTTCCCTTCAGATACGGTGACAGACTTTGACTTCTCTCCATTTGACCAGTTGTTACTGGCGACAGGCTCTGCTGATAAGACGGTGAGTGTACAGTGAAGTGGTAACTGAGGGGACTGCATATAGTGAGATCACTTGACTAGAGGAGCTGTCCTGCCCCCCTTGTCCCGGGGTTAGCTCTTGATACTGCCAGCTGGTTCCTGGGAGTCTGTTTATGTGGATTGTCAGTGCCTTCACAGGTAACTCGGGAGGGGCACTGAGGGGAGTTCAGGCTGAGGTCTGGAGTGAAGGTGGGGCCAGGGTGTGGTCTGGAGATGGTCTGGAGCAGAAGGATGCCAGGGGCCATGAAGATGAAATGGGCTCCCTGCTTTGGAGGGACGTGCAGTTAACATGTACTCAGGTTGCTCAGCTGGATGCAGGCCCAGTGTTTGCATGGGGTACAGCAAAGGGACAGATGATGGGAATTGTGAGCTGCTGCCAGCTTCAAGCCATGGTGTTTAGAGGGGTCATCAAAGGAGTCTGTGGAGCAGGGGAAGGCAGAAAGGTGGGTTGTCCCAAGCTAGAAGGATGTGGGGTGTCTGTGAGCTTTGTGCACATGTTGGGAAGGGAAGGACATGTAGCAGAGGAAACAGCTTGACCTGCCACTCAGCTTGGTCTCCCTAAGTTCAATGAGGCCCCTGAGCCCAATTCACTTGAAATGGCCCTGCTGAGCTACCTGTGGCTCTGTCTGGGGGCACAAAGGCCTAAGAAATGAATGGCAAGACACAACCTACCAACAGGATGTGGCAGGAGAGCACTTGGTATGTGGCTGCTGCACCTGAGCACTGAGAGCTCCATGTGAGCCTGGGGTGAGTGGCAGATGCAACTTCACGCTTGTGACATGGAGATGGGAGACCAGAGTGTAGGCAGAGGGTTTCGTAAAGGCTCTTGGGGATCACTCTTGTGCATCTTGGCCTGCAGGTGAAAGTGTGGTGTCTGTCTGAAAATGGCCAGGACTTGCCTGCCAGTGCGGGGGTGATCCTGGGGCCTGAGGGGTGCCAAGTGGACATGCTCCAGTTCCACTCCACTGCAGATGGTGTGCTGGCAAGCGGAGCTGGCAGGGGAGTGAAGATCTGGGACGTGGCCCAGCAGCAGTCCCTGACAGGTAGGCAGAGTCATTCTGGCTCAGGGGAATGTTGTCTTGTGGGCTGAGCATGGCATCTTCTGCCTGAATACACAAGCAAATATCTGCTCAGCTGCACAAACTTCTGCCAGTTTGCTGCATCAGCAACTTTTCAGGAGTTTACCCCTTCCTTTGTTTGTGGGTGTTGTCTTTTTCTGAAGGACCTTATTGCTGCCAAAGGTTATTCATAGGCAGTCCTGGAGGGCATGGGAAGTAAAAAATTCAATATTCTGCCCCTGCCCTTTGCTGTAGCTCAGGCAGAAGATTTTGACTGGGGTGTGCTTATGCTCCGGAGAGGTAGTCTCAATGACAGGGGCTGTGCTTGCCCCCTCAGGTACAGACTGAGGGTGGGGGCAGACAGCCGAAAGAGCAGGGTGCAGCAGGGTGAATTTCTGTCCCTGCTGCCTTCATCTGGAACCAGCTAGTTTCTAGCTTAGCAGTTCTCAGACAGGGTTCTGCTAATTCATAAAAGTTATGGAGGTGTGCCTTGGTGGAAAAGGTTGAGAAGCACTGGTCTAGACCGTCTTGGATCTGGGATGTGTTTTTTCTGGTAGCGTCTGAGCACAAGTGTGCTGCACAAATTGCTTCCCCCTTCCTCTTCCTTCTAAGCTGCCTGATGATGGATGTTTAGGCTTAAGGTTCCAGGGAGAGCCAAAAAAGAAAATGGAACCAAACCTCTGCAGCCTCCCTCCAGGTCACTGTATATACCACTGTCATCGCAAAGAACCAGCCCTACCTATTGGTTACTCCCTTTAAAATGCTGCCACACATAAATGCCTCCAGTAACACTAGATGAGGAAGCCACCGCTGTCATTGCTGTGGGCAGTATGAGGGCCTACCAACTTGTTTCTGTTCCACTCTGCAGGTTTGTTAGGCCTGTCTCCTGTCACCTTGCCTGAATAGCCAGACTTTCTCCTCAGCCTGGTACTGAATTCCTCCTCAGACTTCCTGTGAGCAACAGTGATCCTGTTCCAGAAAGCCAAAAGCATGTTATGAATTCCTTATTAAAAGACCCATTGCAGAGGATTGGCAATGAGCTATGGAAACTTTGTCCTTCAGAAAGTATAAGTCCAGCTCAAGGGCGTGCAGTCAGAATGGCTGAATTTCAGAGCACTTCCACATGTTGGTGTTCTTGTAACTTGGTTCAAATTGGCTTAAATTGTTTGGTTTGGAAAACCTTCAGAAATATTCTGGTTTTGTATGCAAGCTGGGATTTGTTGTAGTGAAAGTGAAATCTGAGCTCAATCTGGAGAACTCTTTTTCCTTCAAGTCCAGCAATATTTTCCATTCTGGAAAACTAAATTGCTTGGTTGGAAAACAAGTTAGTACATGTTTTGATGCAAAATTTACTCATTTGTGGGAAATGCTGAGATTCGATAAATTTCTGGACTTTGAAGTGGTTTGTAATGAAGTTGTGTATTTCTCACAGAGGGAAGACCCTCCATCCTTAACTGGTTGAAAGCTGTTCCCACTTAGCTGTGTGTCCCCTTGTTCTTCCTCTAGAACTGGAATCTCATGGTGACCAGCTCCAGAGTTTGGCCTGGAAACGAGATGGTGCCCTCCTTGGCACTTCCTGTAAGGTGAGTAAAGCAGGCGTTTCCTGTGGTGGGTGAGCTGGAGGGCAGGCAGGGGAGAAATCCTGAATGTGCTTTCCTGAACAGATGTATTCAGGTAGGTGTTAAACTTTGTTGTGTGGGTGAGTGCAACTAAACCTCTGCAGAATGAGAATGTCTAAAAATATATTTCCTTCCCTGTGTTGGATTTATCTTCTGCTGGAGCTTAAACTGCCACATTCTGCCTTGAGCAGGTGTGGGCTGTACTAGGTAACTCCATGGAGAACTTGAGTGAAGCCTGCTTTGATTATGCAGTATGTTCCTAGGGCACTGTAACCTCCATGGAGAAAGAGAGTACCAGACTGGACACCCACCTGTTGGGGTGGCTTTAGGGATAGGGCTGCCCCTTACATATGAGAGGTGATGGCAGAGGCTTTGGGAGTTCGTTGTTCAGAAAGGCAGTGGGGAGATTGTCAAACACCTCTTGCGACAAGTGCCCTTCTCTCTCCTTTCTCACATGCCATTCACTGCAAAGCTCATTCCCCAAGATCATGAGGCTGGAATTCCAACAGTATGGGCTTTATCCTCAAGAGCAGGATATGCAGACCAGTTGCTATCTGTACTCCAGCTGTCTTCAGTTCCTGCTTGAAATTGCTCACTGTGCTCCTAAAGAGCTCTGGTGCCTCTCCCATGAGCATCTGATAAAAGCAGCTCACGGTGCTTTCCATTCTTGTCATCCCTATTCCTCAGGGAGCTCAAACTAGAGCTTAATCATTACGTCCCCACACTGGGGGGAAGGCCCACTCCAAAGACTTTCACTGTTCTTGCCTCCCCTGGAAAATCACTTAATGCTGAAGGCCTGATGGCTTGTGGGCACTAAAGACTCACAAGAAACTGATGGTCTCTGTAACAGTTAGGCTGGCTACCCTGGGGCCCTACTCACATACCATCACCAGGAATTATCCTGCTTTCTTCAGTTCCCCCTGCAGCATCAGTTGGCTGTGGTATTTGTGAACTGTCCTTGACTACCATGTAGCCATGCTCTGTGCTGTTGCACCCAAGAGGCTGCTGCATTTCAGTGATAGGTTCTTATGTGTTTACAAACCATTTCAGGATCCTTCAGGATGAAAAGCTGTGTGTAAACAGTAGATATTGTTTCCCTGTGGTTATATAAACTTGCTTGTTGTGGAGTTTTGAGAGGTTGGCTTGTGTCCTGGAGGCCAGTTTGAAATCTGAAATTCTGTTCCCAAAGAACAGTGTAGATCTTCTCCAAGAGGCTTTCAAAAGCAGATGGAGATTGGGGATGGGAAATACCCTTGTGGAGGGCCAGGTTATGCTCCTTCCCTGTGGCCATAACCCCGCAGACAACTGCATGATATAGAAAGTATCCCTTTGCCCCAAGGGAACAGTTTATCTTCAGTAGGAGTTTACTTTCTTGGCTTATCTGTAGGAGAAATTCCCCAAGTATCTCTGCAGGTGAGGGAAGAGGTAGCTGGGAGGTGGGAGGGCTTCACCCGTTCTTTCACCTTGCATGCTGCCCAGCCATGACTCGTCAAATGTTTGTGTGGGCAAAGGTTGTGAGAGCAGAGCTTGACTTAGGGTTTGTTGCCAACCTTGACCATTTTCAAGGGTCTTAGGACAAGCTGCAGAACTGTGGCTAAGCAGAAGGCCCCCAAACTTGTTTCTGAGTGACTGTGGTTTGAACCTTTGCAGATGTGACAACTAACTTGGTCAGCAAAGTGAAAAGCCATCAAACAATTAAACAAAGCACAAGGCCTGAAAGGAGATATATTAGATGTTATTTTGCTATCATACATACATTTTTGTTAAGATGCTTAGATAATTTGTAAAAACAAGAACAGCCTTGTCAAAGAAGACCATAAACTAAGATAAAACAGGTTAGTGCTGAGCAGCACTCCACAGTGGGGAAGGAAAGGAGATAAGAAATCCTCCCTCTTTCTTTCCCAAGTATATAAATCCCAACTAATTGACACCTTCCAAGTTCATAAGAGATTTGGTTTAGTCCAGTTCCAAAAGTTTCAGTAAAACAAAGAAACTTTCAATCAGAGATTAAAATGAATAGGAGATTATTTATTAGAATTAAAATCAGCCATGTATAAGTACTGGATATAGACTGGAGGGAAATTTAGAGAACTCAGCAAATTTAAGAAGACCTGCTGCTAATCTGTGTGTCATTCTTCTCCCAAGCTAGATAGACTTTGGGATAAACAATTAGGTATGTTTTCATGTTTTAAAGTGCAAACAAATAAAATGTTGGGCTGTAAACCTGTTTCTATCTATTATTAGTAGTCTGCCCCCAAGATTACCTGTAATCTGGGTAACAGACTTCACTATCTGAGTGCCATGCCATGCTGTGGAGGAGGAGAACTCTGTGCAGTGCTCTTGGCTGCTTGCCTAGGTACCACTCTAGTCCTCTGGCAGGAGCTCTAGAACTTGATCAGCCACAGATTAAGGCTGGAAACAAGATCTAGCTGTGACATGCTTGGCAGCTCTCAAGGGGACAGCACCACAGTTGATAACAGGCATTTCCCCTGCTAGCCATGCCACTTGCCAGCTAGGGATTCCATTCATAGTACTGTCCCATTGTGCAAAAGTTCATCATTGCTGGAGTCTTGCGGCTTTCATCTCCTGGATATTTTTAAGATGCTACCGCTTACCAGACCCAGCCTTTGTCTGACAGCTGTGCATTTACTAGCTTCATAATAGATATTTAGAAATTCAGTTGTCAGAGTAAGTTTGTAGTGCAGTCAGTAAAGGCAACTCAGGATTTTCTGTGTTGCTTTGTTTCTCTCTCTGAATTTGAACAAGGAAATCTATTAGGCACATTCTCAAGGTGTCGAAGTCCCAGGGAACAGGGCCTCTTTGCAACATGGAAACAGAGCTTCTTGACCTAGATCATGAATGAAATGTACCAAAAGTAACTCAGGAGGTTTGAGCTTATGTCTGTGGGTGTCTAAGCATGCTGTCATTGTCTGCCTGTGCCCCATGCAGTCTCTCGGGCATTGTCTGACCCTTACTTGTAGGGACGCTGTCAGGTTACTGGCATGTACTGAGCACTTGGTCTTTTTACATTCTCTTTTCATTAGCACACGTGTTATAGGAGTGAGATTGCAGAGTCTCTCTCATTGGCAGCTGCTCAGGGCTAATGAATTCTAGCTTTGCCTTGCACAGCCAGCAGTCAGAGAGACATCTGTGGCATGACTCTCTAGTCTGAGCAGGGAGCCCTGTCACATTGATTGTCTCTTGGCTGCCTCAATTGTGCCTGGTATTCACTGTCTGCCCCATCCTTTCCTTTTGCCCATTCACAGCATGTGTGAGCAGAACCTGGCTCTCTGCCAGCAGCTGCCATTTTTACAGCTACTGCTGGGGGAAGGTCATGGCCTGCTGCTCCAGGATCCTGCGCCTGTAAAGATCCCTTTATCAGCTGATCGCCAGGGAAGGCCTTTGCCTCTGAGTCTCTCTGCTATGATGCACTCTGAGCACACAGCCTCCATGCTGCAGCATGGACAGGACCAGTGTGCCTTTTGCCATGGCAGTGATGGCACAGCATGGCAGATCATGGTCCCCTTAGCTTGATCTGTGATGCTGCAGCTTCAGAGCCTCTCCCAGGTGTGTCCTACACACAGGCAATGCCCAGGCCTCACTAAGATGGGTGGGGATTTGCCACTTATTTCTTTGAGGTAAGGATTTTGCTTTAAGTCTCTTGTCTTGCCCCTGTACTGTTCTGCTGCCAGGTGGCCAGAAGGTGCCTTTGTTGCAGCCAGGGCCTTTTACCTCTGAACACTGGCTCCCCAACAGCTGCCCGGTCCTTGCTCAAGCCTCTGTGGTTCTGTCCCTGGTGATAAACACTTGCCCTCTGATTTTTGGCTAGTCAGTGAGGATTACTTCCAGCCATGTGGTTAACTGAGGAGCTTGCTCCTGGTCCCATTTTGCCATGTCCTGAGAATCAGTGATGAGTCTGTGCCTCTGTGGGTTGGATTTAAGTGTCTGTCCAGCCCAGACTGAGGGTTCCATTGTGGCTGGTTCCAGTCATGGTAAAAGACAGACCTTGCCCTAGGGAGCTTGCATCCTGAGCTTTACAGCGGCACAGGCTTGGTGGTAGGGGGATGAGAACAGCATGATGCCTGACCTGCAGCCTGCCAGCACTGCCGGGTTGTGTCCGTGTGGGATTTTGCTGGGAAGCAATAAGGTAAAGGGACAAAGGGGAGTAGAATGAGGGGAGCTTGGAAGATGGGCAGTGTAAAGAGCCTGGTGGAAGGCGTTGGAGTCATTGGCAAAAGAGGGCCAGAGGCAAAACAATGGGTGCTGCCACTAGCTTCCAGATGGCTCTGCCACTCCAGCTGGCTCACATAATGCTCTGGCAGGATGTGGGAGTAGTCTGCCCCACACAGATCTGGATGTGGAGGCAGTGGGTTGGCAAGGGGCATATGACTGATCATGCTTCCCCCCAGTGTGACTTTACCTGCAGCCTAAACTCCTGCTGTTGTAGCTGCAAAGCTGGATTTCTGCAGGCATAACTCAGTTTCTGTGTCCTCTGTGTTGCTGCACTACAGCTGAGGTGGGTAGTGAGGCAGGTGCTGAGGCGCATGGCTGGGTTCCACTAACTGCATTGGACAGGATGAAGGGAGAGGTCACATCAGCCTGCACTGCTGGCCTGTGCCCTGCTGTGAGGTGCTGTGAAAGGAGAATGCTGTACTGACCTGCTTTGCCTTAAGAATGGGCAGATCCAACTGTAACAGGAGGCCCCAATCGCTGCTGCAGCTGGTGAGCACAGGGCTTTTTTTAAGGGGCGGGGGACGGGCAGGGCAGCCATGGGGGCTTCTCCCGCGGCTCCTCTGGCTGTGCCTGGCTCTGCCCCAGTGTGGGTAGCTGTGGAAGAGGCCCCCATGGCTGCCCTGTCCGGCCCCCTCCCCCACTCACCTCCAGCCTCCTGGCACTTTAAAAGGAGGGCTGCAGGGCTATGCTGGACTATTCCCGGGGTTCACCTCTGAAGCCTTTTGAAACAT